CTTGTAAAAAAAACAGCTGACTGGAAGTGCCACGTGAGCACGTCTTTTGTAACATTCTTCTCTTGGGTGTGGACTTTCCTTTGTCATTTTGTTCAGGTTCATCATACAAAATACAAAATAAAACATGCCCTCACAAAAGCATTTGTCTGATAATTATCAATTGACATTCTCATTATTCATTCTCACTGTACTTACGGTAAACTAATGATGTCAGCTAAATCTTCCCCTACAGTCACCACCAATTATTCACACACACACGCACAGTCCTACCTTGTGATGTCATGCAGTGGTAGTGTAGTGTGGTAGGTAGTTTTTACCTTAGAGCTAAATTATATTATTGTTGTTATGATTAATATTATTATCCATATGATTCTGATGAAGGTGTATTGAGTTTAGAAACACGATGGAGCATTTTCTGTATTGCCATGTGACATCAGAAGGTGGATCAGAGTGTTTTCTGTTTCAGGGAAGAGCTCAGAAGATGGTTGGATACTGCTCCAAGCTGGTGAGACTATTCAACTTATGGGTTTATGAATGTTTCTCTGCAAATTTTTCCTCAAATAAAGAGTGGTGTAGAGTTTGGAACATGACGCACTGAGATTCAACCTTTTCACAGTACAGAAAATGCTTTTGAAATATGTGTAATACATTAACTAGTGGGTGCATTTTCTCTCTGTGTCAAAGATGTGAGTGTGCACAGGAGCGAGGAGAACAAGGCGGAGTTTAAACATGCGGTACTTTGGCAACAACATATAACGCATATAATGTGTGAGACGCAAAAATGTCGACTGGTAGGTCTTGGCGACAACACCTTTTATTTCCGTGAGTTTATCAGTTGTTCTGTTCCAGTTGGACCAGTTTGTGGCATCTTTGAACATTTTTTCAAAATATAAAGTGTGAAAAAAGTGTGTTCTTGTGTGTAAATTGTGCCAAACTTTTTGGACAGGATTGTGCCAATGTGATGTCATTACTCTAAAATTAAACTCTACTTCCTGTAATTTAATTTTCATCATTTTTTTAATTATATTTTTTCAAATTGCTTCTTGATTGGTGTAAAACTATAGTTTAAATGAGATAATCTTACACGCTTTAAGGAAGGACACATTCTGTAACAGTTGGACGACACCAGAGACAAACCACAGAAAAATATCAACAATGAACTGGAGGTTCCAAAAATGACACCATAGTCAGAATCTCTTTGGGGTTGTCTAATTTAGAGATTCCTCACAGACCTCTTTTCTGTGCACTAAAACAATGTTGGGTTAAAAATAATGTGAAATAATAACCCAGCTTTGGGTCACTATTGAACCAACACAACTCTGGGTTATTTTGACCCAACAGTTTGGGTTATCATTTTAACCCAGCTTTTGGGGTTATTTTTTCTATTCAATTCTGGGTTGTATTTTATTACACTGCTGGGTTAATTCTATCCAGCACATGGGTTAATGTTTATAATGAGCACCATTGTGCTATTTAAGAAAAATGTATTTTTTAAAAATAATTTGTAGTGATGGACATTTGAGTGAGTTGGTTTATCTCAGATTCTGGAATGAGAACAGAGACATGTTACATGTAAGATATATATGACTACTTTAGAAAATATAATGTTATTAAATGTAACACTTACAAGTCTAACCCTAATAAAATCCTAATCATAACACATTTGTGACTGAACAGAAGCTTTAGTCTTTAGTCTGGGTCCAGAGCTCAGAACTGTGGATTTGGCTCCACTGTGAAAGAAGAACAGAGAGGTCACACATAAACACCTCAAATCTGTTTTCCTCTGGGACAAATGAAGCTTGAGAAATATTAAATCAAATCCACTTCATGTACGACACATTCACATCCAGATTAAAAACACAATGTTCCTTTATTTAAGCAAGTATAGTTATTAATATTTACAGTTAAAGATTAGCTCGATGCTTAGCAGCAGAGGTCAAGCTTTTCTTTAGTAACATTAAGTGCTACAAAATGATTAAACTGTGTAAACTTTCAAATAAAATCACAAATATAAAGAAATAAACATGTTTAAATACCTTGAACTGTTTCTCTGGAGCAGTAGATGAGGCGAATACTGACAACTGGAGTCTTTGTTTGACCCAGTTCTCCGGGTTGTTTGAAACTATTTGACCCAGAATTCTGGACAGACTGGAAAATCAGATCATTATGTTAGATTTTACATGAGCCAATTATAAACCAACCTGCTGACTCAGAATTTAAATTAAGAGTTGTTTAGAAAACATAATCCAGCATTTTTAGGGAGTGGGTCCCAAAAGGAGAACATGTTCTTGTCTGGTCTCCTCTGCTGTTTCCCTTGTGGGTCAGTCCATAAGAAATCAGCCGCCCTCCCCTATGCATCATCTCAGATTTGGCTGAAAGAAATTCTAAACATTTCTTAAATCACCAGATGAAAGAGTCTCAATTTTTAGCTCAATCCCTTGACTCGTCCCTGAGTTATGGCCCGTTGAAATTTTGAGACCTGTTACGACGCAGCTCGTTTGGGGTGAGGGAAGTAACAAAAATAAAACCAAAATGTAAAATGGAATAAATTATGTTTAATTAACAGGAATGTAAAGGTAAAGTAACAAAAGACTAAAAATATACAGAAAACAACCTAAACTAAGAAACAGAACAACAGAATAAACAGAGTTTTGTGCCAGAAAAGGGGTCACGCAGGCTTACACAAAAACGAGTGGTAAAACTTAGGGACACACACTAAACTAAAACACAAGTTCCCCAAATTAAACCACATAAACCCACAAACAGAATCGAGTGACCAAATCAAAAAAGGCACAAAACAGAACTAAACTAAACTACACACAAACACAAAATGGTAGACTGGCCACCAAGGTCAGCAGCCCCAAACAGGTGCTGTTAATCTCCTTAAATAGAGGTGGTGGCTGCAGGTGAGGTGGGCGTCGACCTGCCCCACCAATCACGGATCAGGGCTCCTGCAGCAGGAATTAGGAGAACTTGGCAAAAATCACACAAACAATTTGGAACCAAGGCCTGGGGCCGTAACAGGGCCATGCTCACTTTTTCAGAAGCCTTAATGTATAAGCATGTTTGAGAGAGCATAACTTCATAAAAAATAGAAATAGGAAGCTGAATATGTGAATTTGTGTTATTGTAGATTCTTGGTCATAGATTCTGAATCTGTTGTCAAATATTGGGTATTTGTATTAGGGTGGGAACTGTAGGCCCCCAAAATTTCAAATTTGGATGCTGCTCAACATTTTTTTAAATTTTTTTTGAGGTCCAATATCTATTTACTCCAAGCAAATATTTACAAACTAACTGTTGAACCTGGATATTTGAGAGAATGACCATTTCTGACAAGAATCTCACACTTTTCTGAACTTTCATGTGGATGGTGTAGAGTCCCATATGATCACAGACCAAATGTGATCTTTTTGGACCCTTCTTTGGACCCTCGGTTCCCTGTGTGGGCACAGTTAGATCTTGATTTTTTTTTTTACCAGAGAAACTTAGAGCATATTCTGATTAGTTTAAAGTAATAAAAACATTTACTATTAACTTACATTTTTGAAAATGAGCTCTCATGGGTCATTTTTGGTGGAGTTTAGGTACTTTTCCACCTGCTAGAAAGGTACAATTACCTTTAATAGTCTTAAACAATATTTGCTTGTTATAAGGGAAGACAATTGGAGATTATTTGTGGGACATTATTTGTGATGGTTTTGGTTGCACAGTAAACGCTCAGCTACAAGGACCAGTCTTCAGGCAACTGACAACAATCAAATATTGACCGCACCCCAGATGTTTGAGTGGGCTTCACAAAATATAAAGAATGTGAAGGTTTTCTACAAGCTCTAAATACATTACAAACCATGAATTTACTTCCAAACTAGAAGAGCGCTGCACTAAGGTAAAGACTGTGAACGGCACTAGATCACACCAGTTTCATTCCAGTGTCAAATGGTAAATTAGAAATGAGGAAATATCTCAAGATCATTTATGTACTGAAGTGTCAGTTTCTAAAATACAAAATGAGATTGTGCCAGATTTCTCTCTGTATCAGCCAGATCAATACAGTGCATGTATTTATGACATCAGGTGGTTCATATTTCCGAGCGTTCAGATGAACTTGGTGATGTTGATGTGAGATTCATAAATGGAGACAACAGAAACTCATGTGGCCTCCTGAACATCAACAGAACCATGCACATAATCTGTTGTATTAAGGTTCCAGAAGTTCAGAGAAGAAAAGCACAAAATTATCACCTTGACACTGCACATTATGACAGGATCCAAACATTATTACTTCTGAAGTTCATTAGCAGTTAGGAACACTTAGTGTGCACGATACCAATACAGATGATCTACATGTAAGTGGCAAAGGAACCAAAATGGGCAGATATTTCCAGTATGTTGGTATTTTCCACTGAGGTTGAAGTTTTAAAATGTAATTTCTAGCAGTTGAACAAATAACAGACCGGATTACTGTATTTTGGTGACTATTGTGTCAGTATAAATTTTTTTCTTGTTAATGTTACAGTCTTCTTGTAATGTTTTTGTGCAAAAATAATAATAATATACACCATATGTATATTGAAGGCACACCATGAAAAGCTGTTTCTTTGTGAGATAACAACTTATCTTCCTCAAATAAAAATAGAATAAATAATGCAAACAAACCTTTTTTCAATTTTATATGAAGTTAATAGTTGAATTTTCTCAAAGGATTAATGGCATTTTTCCAAGCAATCTAGCCACAAATAATCTCCAATTATCTTCCCTTATGAGAAGCAAATAGTGTTTAAGACTATTAAAGGTAATTCAGCCTTTCTAGCAGGTAGAAAAGTACCTCAGCTCCACCAAAAATGACATGTGAGAGCTCACCGAGCACCGAGCTCTAGACAAAGCAATAACATCTCCACAGAGACAAGCAGGTGGATCCTCCCCTAGAGGCGCAGGGCACATGGTACAAATAAAACTGCTTTGCTGACTAGGCCACATTTCAGGTTTTAATCCTAGAGATCAATGGGAGGAGGAGACAACCGAGCGCGCGTTTCTAACAACACAAAACTCTGATCCAGTCACCTGTGCGTTCAACACAGGAGCGTTACAAATTCAAGTTTTAAGTTTTAGTGAGTTTTTTTGTTTGTTTGTTTGTTTTTTCTCTCTTTAATTCACATTTGTCTGATCTTTACGCGGAGGGAAGATGACACTCAAATCCGTTTTGACTTTTGCCTCCGGGATCGTGCTTGGGTTCGGGACGCTGCGCCTGATGTTGGACTGGAACATTTCCACGCCGAATTTCTATCAGTTACGGAATTCCAGCAGCAAGGAGCGCTCTCTTCACCGGCTGGATAAAGGTAGCAGTATTAGCTTGTCTACTTATAAAAGTATAAGAGTTTCAGCGTATTGGAATAAACATATTGGAATTGGCCATTTAGAGACAATAATAAAAAGCAGCTAACAGACCATCTCTGTCCCTTTGACAACACTGAATATAATGGTTTATTCTTCTGTTTTATCATACTCATCTCTCCTTTGTGTGTGCGTAAAGAGCGCATCACGCGCAGACATGTCCCAACAGCAGCATATACTAAATATACTAAATACTTCTTTATTTTATTTTATTTTATCTTTTCAGGAAGTCCCGTTGTGATTGCGTCTCATTTTCAAGAAAGTTCCGAGAACAAACACAGTAAAGATACATACAAGATAAAAAACGTTTACAATTCATAAAACGCATAATAAAAGTACAATTAAATCTTTGTTTAACTTTCAGTGAATTGATCTTGAGACATATTTCTGACAGTAACATAAGGAAGTTTAGATAACTGTATTTATTCTTCCAAGTCATTAACCAGCGTCACATGATTGTATTTCGTGTACAAGAGGCAATAGGTACTTGACCTTCTTGTGAATCACAATTATTGTGAAACAGGACTCAGCAAATAGAAATCATCTTCCTTTGGCATTGCGAAGCAGCACTAAACAAATAATGCTAATATAAACTCTAACTAAATAAATAAAGTTATACATGAAAACGGGGAAATAAAAATAGACTTTGATTCAGGATGAAAATATGCAGCATGGGCATTACTCATGTTATAGAGCGTTTTTACTGTGAGATCTTTTATCTTAGGTGATTTTTATTGTGTAGTGTTGGATGTGATTCATGGTAATTACAATCTAGTACATAAAGTCCTTTCCAAATTGGCCAAACCAGTATTACATATAAAATGAAGTTGCATACTAAAATGAAACTTACACTGTAGTATTTTCTTTTCTGTTCCCATGTGGACTTATATCTGTGTAATCCCCCAGTCTTTTTGCTTTTATACTTGTTCTGATACAGCTCAAGATTATTCTAAAACTATTCAAGAAAGGTTCATTTCTGTCCTGTGAATGTGGCTTTTTAGATATTGATCCCTGCTCAAATAAGTATCTAGTTTCAATATTGTTTTAGTATCGATAAGCATCTGATTTTTGATACTTTTGACAACCCTAGTCAGCTTTGTTGAGTATGAGTTTTCTTAATGTTTTGTGTACATTGTATAAACAAACTCTGACCCTCAGGTGACGAGATGGTGGTGGATTCCACAAACAGCAGACCTCGCGTCTTGTGTTGGATCATGACTGGACAAAAAAACCTGAACTCTCGTACCAGACACGTCAAGGAGACATGGGCCAAACGCTGTGATGTCACCCTCTACATGAGCTCCCAGGAGTCCCCCTTCCCCACTGTGGGCCTCAATGTGAGCGAGGGACGGGAGAACCTGTACTGGAAAACCATCCGCGCCTTCCAGTACATCCACGAGAAGCACCTGGACGACGCCGACTGGTTCCTCAAAGCAGATGATGATACGTTTGTGGTGGTGGAAAACCTTCGCTTCACGGTGTCAGCTTTGAACCCCGAGGAGCCTTGGTATCTGGGTCGGAGGTTTGCCCCTTTTATTAAACAGGGCTACATGAGCGGAGGGGCTGGATACGTTCTCAGTAAGGAAGCAGTCCGAAGGTTTGTCCGCGGTTTCGAGACTGGGAAGTGCACTCACTTCTCCATCCTAGAGGACATGGCTTTGGGCAAATGTATGGAGAGCATGAACGTGCAGGCGGCAGACACCAGGGATGTGCTGGGCAGGCAGACCTTCCACGCGTACCCTCTGGAAAAATACGTGTTGAGAGTGCCCCAAAGAGTACGACCCTGGTATGTGCTCTACGATTACTACAAACTCCCTGAGGTAAGAACCGAATGCTAGAAATGGGGTGATAAAGAATGATATAATTTAACATGATAAAAAGGGAAAACAAGAATCATTGGTGAGACATTTTATAGAAGCCAGCAAACATTATCGCCATAATCATGTAACTTTTCAGATGAAGCTCGATTATACTGAAAATGTTCCACAGTATGGCATTAAACGTATCTATCTAGCCAAACTGATCACTTCTTCACAAAAGACTGTAAAGTATTCAAACCTGTTCTTCCTGACACTGGGGACACATGAAACCTGCATGAGCATTGAGATCTTATCTCTCTCCCATCTCGACATGCACAAGAGGCATGCACAAGACAGCGCCCTCTGCAGGCTTATTTTAATGTGCATGTACAGGAGGGGTCATCAAACTATGGCCCGCGGGCTGACTCTGCCCCTCTGCCCCTCTGCCCCCCACCACTTGAACTGGCTCTACGAGGCAATCCTCAACAGTTCATGGCATATATATATATATATATATATATATATATATATATATATATATATATATATATATATATATATATATATATATATATATATATATATATATATATATATATATATATATATGTGTGTGTATGTATATATATAATATATATACACACATACATACATTTGCCACCGAAGAACAGTGCACAGATCACTTTTTAGTTCAGTGTAAGGACTGTGCAGTTTGTCTGACATGTAAAGAAAGTGAGCTGGTTTTCAAAGAATATAATCTGTTGTTAGGGTCATAACATTCCTACCCTGGCCCCAATCACAGTCAGAAGCGATAATGTTGCCCCCAGAGAAAAAAAATTGTCACCCCGATGTACAGTCAGACTTTAATTTATTTTTTTATTAATTAATTAATTAATTAATTAATTAATCATTGCATTTATATAGCGCCTTTCAAGATACCCAAAGCACTTTACAGAGCATTATTCATTCACTCCACACTCAGTGGTGGTAATATACTATTGTAGCCACTCCGACCACCACCATCACTCACGCTCACACTACTTTCATACTAGGCAATGTGGGTGAAGTGTCTTGCCTAAAGACACAATGACCCACTGTGGCACCTGGAGTTCCCAGTGGTCTCCAAGTACTAACCAGGCCCGGCCCGGATTAGCTTCTGAGATCTGATGAGATCAGGCTTTGACAAGCTGGTATGGCCACGACTTCCCTCTTCTCCCGGTGTCACCCAAATGCCAGTTCTTCCGACATAATAACTCCATAAAACAAGTGCATACATCCAATAACTATTTCATCATCTCAGTCAATCCATCCATCAAACACTGCACAGAGTGGGAAATCCTAAACAGAATGAGAACATGACATAAACTTAATCACTAAAACGGGACAAGTGCAGTAGAAAAATGATCTGTCCCCAGTTTCAGTCAGGATTTTTCCACTGAAAATTGAATTCCTCTTCCAAGTGCAACCCCTCACTGTCCAGTCGTCCCCTCATTATTTATGTCATGATGACCAGTGCATATTGTTTTGTACTGCCTGTATAAAACCCCTTGTGGGACTGTCCCAGGCCTCTCTCCTTCATCTACCTGGTCGACTCTCTTCTCTATTTGCTCTCTCTCTTGCAAGAGAATAAACCCCACAAAGACAGGTGTTTGACTCAAGATCTGAAATCTTTAAATCAAATATTTGCTCAACACAAGGAGAGTGAGAGTAAAGAGACCTCTCAAGCGTCAAGTGCATCAGGTGTGTCAGGTGTAAGTGTGCACACTGAGTGGAGCCTCTGTCACTCACTTGGCTGTGCGTACCTGCTAAAAAAAATCCTTCTTGATCCGGATTTTTTCTCCATTTGTACCAAAATGACTATGCAATGCTGCAGAATTTTGCACGTGTCGTTCTTAAAATTTTTATTTAAAAAATTGAAGAACAAAATAAGTACAGAGCAGTGGATTAAAGCGGAGATTAAACAACAATAACCTGTCTTGAAAATAAGATATTAAAAACGGCTCAGACATGCACGAGTCACCCCAAAAACAACTTCGAGAGGGTAAATGAGCAGGAAAACAACCCCTTCTCTCGACAGATACTAAAAGTGAGTACAACATTAAAGAACAACATTAAAGCTGCACTATGTAACTTTTCTGATAATGCCGCATGCTTGTCTATATGGAGAATGTTCCACAGTATGGCATTAAGCTTATCTATCTAGCATTTATTAGCAAAAATACTTATATACATACTTATCGTGATTATTACAAATTGTTACTTTGGGAGTGCTCGCCTCTCTACAGATCTGCACTGTAATTTGTTGTGGTTGTGTGGTGTCACATGCTTGTCTCCATGGAGATGTTTTTAAAGTGCTCAGACATGTAACTTTTCATCAGTGCTCGAGGGGTGTCAATTCCCAGAGGTAGAAAAAATACAGAAAAATTGTAATGAAGTAAAAATACCTTTACTTTGCTTAATTCCTACTCAAGTAAAAGTAAAAGTAACCATCTAAAAATCTACTTGAGTAAAAGTAAAAAGTATTTCATTTAAAATGTTATTTGAGTTACTTTCAATTATTTGATGTAAAAAGAATGAGTCATAAATCTAATCCAGCACAAGTTGTTTTAATCGACTTTTAGGTGATACAGTGCAAACTTTGCTCATTTTAAAGACAACTGAGCTTAACACTTACTAACACCAGAGGCGGCGCTACCAGTAGGCAAAAGTAGGCGGCTGCCTAGGGCCCCCAAACCTGGAGGGGCCCCCAACCAACTGCCCTCAGTGCCACTAATGGCCTAAGCCTCAGGGCAATTTGATTTTCTCTCAACACGACATTAAATGAGAGTATTTTACATTTAAACAATAATCATAACAAAAATAATAATAATCACATGTAATGGATGTAAACAAAATATAATTGTATTAGCAAAAAATAAAACTACTTTCAGCTCTGGTTATCTAGTAGGCCACCGAACTAATAAAACCAGTTTACAATCTATCATAATTCAAACAGAGGTGTGCATGTCTCAAGAACAATGGGGAAAAACAGACAATAAATACATTAAAAAAAATAATAAAATTATACATTATAGTGAGGGCCCCAAACTCAAGTTCCCCCCCAAACGGTTAACTCTACCACTAACTAACACATACATTATTACCGTATTTTCCATACTATTTGGTGCGCTCTTAAGCCTCCAACCCCATCAAAAAACGACAGCGTGCCCCACAATCTAGAGCGCCCTATACACAAATCCATTTGAGTGTCCCAGCACGACTTCAGTAAACTACAAAGCCGCACCACCCGCAGAACACACAAACACACACGGAGCAGACAGCGACCGCACAGCGAAACACACCCACAGACACACTCATCACTCCACGCCGACGAGGAACAGAACGGAGGAACGAACCGAAAAAGCGAGTGCAACGTGCCACTTCTAGACACAACTGAACAACTGAGTCACTGCGAACACGCCGACAATCCGTTGGTCCCAGACAGCACCCTCCCTACACGCCACAACTGAACAAAGCCAGAGTCACCGTGAACGCCACAAACAAACAAAACCACTGACCCATCCAACTGTTGTGTTTCGTTTAAAGTCCGGTGTGGTTTATTTGTGAAAAAAGTTTTAAAATAGACCATTTAATGACACCTTATAATCCAGAGCGCCTAATAGCCCGGAAAATACGGTAATATTATTCCCTATTTTGCGTTCGAACACAAATAGCAGTCTGAGGTTTGACCAAGGGTTTCTTTCACTTTCCTCTCGAGAATTATTCCGTGCACCTTCTTCTTGAGTATCATGCACGACAATCTGCGTCTGTCATCGTCCAAGTTGATGGATGGCGGCAGATTGTTTTGGTTTTTTGTTGTTTTTTTTCTCTCTCTAACATTTTCATTTTAATCAGTACATATGGTGGGTTCAAATGTAATGAAGGAAAATACTTGGGTCAAAATGTACTAAACTAAAATTACCTATTTCAAAAACTATTTAAAAAAGACAAAATATTCATAAAAACTGAGTAAATGTAATTTGTTACTTTCATCCTTGTCAATTCCACAGAAAGAGGGCACCGAGGTCATCGTGTAGGCTCTGCTCTGTCTGAAGCTCTTCTATTCAAATTAGACTTTATTTTATATATTCTGATCTTTATTTTAACACAGTCTGGCCAGCTGATTTATGGAACCACAACTGGTGCTGTTAAAAAAGTCCTTCACATAAAATTACAGTCAGAAGCTAGCTAGCATTAGTTTTTTATTTAGTCACTCTCAATTTTTTATTTTTTATTTTATTATTATTATTATTATTTTATCAATTTTGTATTGTTTTGGTAGTTATTGCTTCTGTGTGCATTATGTCACCATGGTAACTGAGGAACATTCCACCATAGAAATAAATACAAATACCAATGCCAATCCATTTAAAGTTTTGAATATGAATTTTTTTTTTTAAGTTTTGCTGAGTCGAGTGTAAAGAGAATTACAGCAATCAAATCTCAAATGCATAAAATGAAACATGTTTTACTCAAAATTATAAATTTAAATGGCAAAAAGATTCAGATTTTGTACAGAAGGTTGAGATGATAAAACAGATCTGTGTCTGTATGTTCATCTGTCCACAAAGGTTATATGAGACATAATCATCTTTTGAATGAGAGCCAAACTGCTGTTGTGGAAAACTGCCAGAGGGAAGATTTAAGAACTGGACCAACTGGCTTTCAGCATGATTGGATTAATGTTAAATCTTAAAATGTTAAATACAAAACAGTAACAGTATTGTTTTAATATTAAAATAGGATATTAATAATGATTTTGTAATAAGAAGTAAAATAATAATAATAATATTGTTTAAAGGCAGAGGTGACAGGGAAATAGAGATGCAATTATTGATAAAGTAATAACAATCATAATTTATTAGTCTTATATAATGGTTTTCCAGATGCTCAAAGTTGCTTTACAGTTTGGTGTATTATTAATTCGCTCCACACTTGGTGATGGTAAAATGCTGTTGTAGCCACAGCAACAGAAGCAAGGCTGCCAATCTGTGCCATCAGCCCCTCTGACCACCACCAATCACATTAACAACATTAACAATGTTAATTGTTAACAACAACAACAACAACAGGAGAACACAAAAGTAATTACTTTGGCTGTTAAAATGGATGATCAAAACAGTGTATGGCTGGATTAAGAGATTGTGATGATTGAGTGAATCTAAATACTCACTGTGTATTGTACCAACAAGAATGTATTATTATTATTATTATTATTATTATTATTATTAGGCGTGAGCGCCATGGGTCGTACAAGGCCTATTGTGATTGTTTAGCAGTGGGAAGCACTGCTACACATCAAACAGAGCACAAACTATACTTAATATAAATGTTTATACACACATGCATTACACACATATACATACATGCAGAAACATATTTTCGTTTATGGTCGTACAAACTAATAACAGTAATGATGAAGGCACAAAGTTTATCGTTTATGATTGTACCAAAATAAACAATAATGAGAATGAAAAAATTTTAGGATTTTTGTTTTCGTTTATGGTCGTACAAACTAATAATAGTAATGAAGAAGGCACAAAAGTTTATCGCTTATGAATGTACCAAAATAAACAATGAGGCTTTAACAAGGAGGCCACAACTAGGGATAAACCGTAGAAGCCTATTGAATTCCAAGATCATTTCTGTCCTGTGAATGTTTTAGTATCGATACCTGCTCAAATGAGCATCTAGTTTTGATAATTGGTTTAATATTGATTAGTATCTGATTTTCCATTGGCTTCTTTTGACAACCCTATTCATTCATTCACTTATTTTATTTACATTAAAGGCTTGCACACTGGACTCTCTCAATATGCAGATTAAAGAAAGAAACAAAAACGAGATCTAATAGAACAAAAAAAAAGGGGAAAAAAAAGGACTGCAGAATGTTGTGAATGGGTTATGAAAGGGAAGGACTACCTTTTTATTCGATAAACAGACAACGCACAAACCCTGAATATTGAGGCTGAGTTCTTCTCTCAAACTGAAAATATTCTGTTCCACCTTGTGATGTCATGTGCTAATACAAGAAGTGTTACACTGTGTTTTAAAACTCCATACTGTTTCACTAGAATAATTCATATAATTTCAGTACTGGAATTGCCAAACTCCACTGAACTACAGGTAAAAGGAGCTGTTAACTTGAAAACTACCGCTTCATGACATCACAAGGTAGAATAGGGAATTTTGAGCTTTGGAGATGTAGACAGATTAATAATAAAGGATTACTCAAATACATGTGAATGAAACAAAACACAACTCCATGTATGTTTTTAAGGACTTAACAGCATTATAACATGGGCTAAAGTCCACAAAATCAGAGTTGCGTAATATAAAAAGGCTTGTACCCGATTTGCTTTTCCCCTGTACAGATACTACATAAGCAGCTCTTGAGGTCAAAATAAGTCTGCTCTGTATTTTCTACATCTAAGTATGTGTTTTTTATCATTCACTAATCAGTAAGTATGTCTCAGCATGCTAGTTGTTGTTAGCTTCACTGTGATGGCAAAACTGCGCTCTGGTCTGGTGAATAATTAGGATGCTCTGAATGCCCTAAATGTTAAGAAATAACTCTGGATGAACTAGTTCTGTTTTTTAAGACAGTAAAAATCAGGTACAGCACCTTTCCAATACACCTGAACTTTGATTCTTGAAGCCTAGAGACTAAACCAGGCATTGTGTAACTCTTCTGGTGGAGGGTACATCACCTGCTTGTTTCTATACATTTCATTGCTCATGTTCCACAATGTGAACAGCTCTACTTTACTGGTATTTGTACTGCTTAGAAATACCTAGAAAAACAGGCATTCTAACTGTGAGCAGTGTCGCTTCTCCATAGATCTGACCTGTGACTTGGCCTGGCTTGGTCTCCATGAAAATAGAAAGGTTTAATACCATACTGTGAAACATTCCAGACAAAGCAACAACATCTCCATGGAGAAACGCATATGACAGACCCTACACCAGAAAGTTACACCATACTCCTTAAATGAAATATTTCAGCATTTCAATTTGATTTTTATGCAGCAAAAATCTGAAGATGTGAGACAGATGCCACTTTGACAATGTTTAAATGGTTTTTGTTATACACTCTTCTATGATGTTAATGTCTTATGATTATTTATGTTTTAATCTGTCAATATTTAGTTCAGTCTCTGTTTAATGTTGTCCTTAATACTTCATTTTAAATAAGTAATTCTTCTGAATTACTTTATGTTCTCCTGTGCTATAAAATTGGCTGTTAAGATGATGGACGATCATGACAGCCAAGTGGACAAGCAAAACATTGTACTGTTGTATTAAGAGACTGAATGTCTGTGCTGAGTAAGTGAATCTAAATACTCATTGTGTATTATACCAAAAATAATGTATGATTATTATTATTATTATTATTATTATTAATAAATAATAGTAATAATAGTAATAATAATATTATTAGGCGTGAGCGCCATGGGTTGTACAGGGCCTATTGTGATTGTTCTGCAGAGCGAAGCAATGCCACACACCAAACAGAGCACAAAGCACTCACCCATTTCCAAACACAATGGCACTCATGTCATTGACACAAGTCACTGGTCCAGAGGTCAATAAGGTCAATGACGAGTGCAACTCCATGGGTGCGTTACTGGATGCCCATTGACATATGTGCCACCATAGGTGGCTCTATATTGTTACTGTTCTGGCTTTTATTATTATATATATATTATATATATTATTATATATATTATTATTATTATTTGTTTTTTTTTGGTTTTTTTCTCAAGTGTTCTTGATTGAATACGTTTCACAGCTCATCCAAGTGGGTTCTTCAGTTCTGGTCTGCTGGTGGACACTACCTTATATCTGTTGTTAAATGTAAAAGTAAATGTATCACATTTAAAAATCTACTTAAGTAACAGTATTGAAGTGCACATTTAAAAAATATACTTTTAGAGTGAAATGTATTTCACATATATTATGATCAGACAGATAGCAGTGATTTTTTTTTTTTTACAGTAACAATATTTAGTAACAATTGTTTAAATTGTTCTGTGGAATCTCATATATATATATATATATATATATATATATATATATATATATATATATATATATATATATATATATATTTGTTTTCTCAAAGCCGAGGCCTGAACTTAAAACATAAAAAAGTTAAAGTAAAACTTATGTATCGTAAAATGTACTTAAGTAAAGATACTTAAAAACTGTAAAAAAAAAAAAAAAAACACCACACCAAAATCCACCACTGCTGCTCATGATCTGTTTTGTGTTTGTTGTGTGACAGGGACCTGGCTGCTGCTCTGATTACGCTGTGAGTTTCCATTACATCTACGCTGTGCAGATGTACGCGCTGCAGTACATGACCTATCACCTGCGCCCCTACGGGTACAAGTACAGGTTTAACCCAGCGCTGTACCCACGCAACCACACGGACACAACTACGACCAAAACTACAGGCTAAAACTACGACCAAAACTACAACCAAAACTACAGGCTAAAACTATGACCAAAACTACAACCAAAACTACAGGCTAAAACTACAGGCTAAAGCTACAGGCTAAAGCTACAGGCTAAAGCTACAGGCTAAAGGTACAACCTAAGTTATGACTACAGTTACAGGCTGTGAACAGGAAGCTGTGGGTGGATGGAAGTGACATGTTTTAAAGTTCACACATTAAATGAATTCTTGAGCGGAGGACACTTCTGTGTTTACAAAGAGGAATGTTTGTGTCTCAGTGCTATAGCGTTAGCATTTAGGCTAATGTTGAGGCACAAAAAATATTAAAACAACACTACAAACTGAAGTATTCTACATATAAAAATAATTAGGTGGTGTTTGTTTCGACTCTTTTTAATTTTAATAGGTGGTTTATTTTATGTTTACAAGTTCAATAAAAGTGACTGTTAGCTTTGAGACAGTGAACTAGCTAGTTAGCATGCTGCTGTGCAAAGAGCCTATTTGATACCCAACAGTAATATTGTCATTTGCTTTCATAAAATCCAGAAAACTGTGCTTGAAAATGACCATAAGGCACCAAAAAAAGAACTCTCAGATTATATACTGACCCACAAGTGAATTGAGAATGGACAATGTTACACGCTCTTTTCACAATTATATTTATACCAGTCATCCCAGCCCTGTATATCCCAGTTTAGTATTCTGAAAATCTAGTCACCACAGAGACTTTTGCTCTTAAAATAAAGCAGTATTTAAATATCAGGAAGTGGGCAGCAAGATATGGACGGATTTTCACAGACAAATGTGTTTGTGTGAAGGCATTTGTGTCACAAAGCTAATGCTAATTGAAGTTAAAATGTATTATTGATGTTAAAAAAGCACTACAGTCTGAATTATCCAGTGATTTGCCACTAGATAGATAAGTTTTTATGTACTAATTTTAAGTTTTATCTTAGGTTAGTATGATGGTGAATGGTATGCAAAGAGCAAATCCGCACTTTTGAGCAAACTACAGCTCAACAGGCAGCTTAAATGAAGTGTATAATATTTATTTGTTTTGAAATAGTGACCTCTTGGATATTTACGTCAATTAAATAATCTGTTTTTTGTTTTTGTTTTTTACATGGGCAAAGTTACAACTAACACCATGTAGAGCACAGAAGGATGAGCTGCAAATTTTCTATGTTATGGTGTCTTTAAAAGTTGCACTATTTCACTGTACTGGGTAGGGGTTGGTTATTGCCTTGCTTATAATATTACATATGCATGCTCTTTCAGACTTTTATCATTCGAAACATGCCACACTGGAACATTATTATGACATTCCAAGCAGTATCAGCCTATGTGATGCCAATTTGAATAAATGTGAAACAGATTTGCACACTGGAAAACATGATGAAAGACTAAAGTTTAATGTTTTTGTTTAATTTTACAGGTCCTATATTACAGAAAATGTATTCTTGTGAGCTTTATGCCAGAAGTCATGTTTTAAGCTATGTTAAGCCATGTTAGAACGTTGTTAAGTCAGCAAAAACATACCTGGGGTTTTGTTTTGTTTCACAAGCACTGAAAAAGCGTGTGTCAATTAAAGGTGTAACTAAGTGTAAAAAGGTGTGTGCAGGGTTTGTGTGAATAAACCCCAGGTATTTTTGTGATGAGAAAACAACATTTTAACATAGCCAATAAAGACTTTTTTGTTTTGTTTTGTTATTATAGAATTATGGTAACTATTGCTGCACGGAGAGTTCTTGTGAATGTAAAATAATCTGTAAGATAAATGTAGAAAAGTATATTTTATTTATTAAAAACTGTCAACACGTTCTTTACAGTCATTTGTGTTTCTTTGGGCACAGAGAGCAGCTACACACCATATGTGAACAATGCATGCAAAACAACAGGTGAACAGGTCAGGTGAGCGACTCTCCCAAAGAAAAGAGACATTGTGCATTCAGAGGCGGCACATGCGTGGAGATGATTATCAGTCACACATTTGAGGAACTGTGAAAGAGATTTGCCTAAGTTCACAGAGCCAATGGGTATAACAAAACAGACACAGGGGAGTGTGCACAGAGCCTTACGTAGCAGTATGAGTATGTACACTCCCAGTTTGAGTTACACCTCATTCAATCTTTTCATTTTTTTAGATACATCGGGACACATCCAATATACGATGCCAGTTATGTGAAAAAAATTTTTTACCGTTAACACAAGTAAATATTTTGGGTATTTTACATTCTAATTCCTCAAAGTAGTCACCCTTTGCTCCGTGGACAGCGCTGCAAACCCTGGATCCCTGAAATGGTTTTTACTTCACAGGTGTAACTTGTCAGGATCAAGAAATACCAGTAGTGTAAACTAGTGATCAAAACAAAGGGTAAAGGCTGTTTTGAGTTATTTTGAGTTTACTACGTTCCATATGTGTTCATTCATATTCAATAATACTTAACACAGATGGGGAGCAGCTCAAATTAATCTTGTTAAAATGTAGATTTGTCTTCTAATACAGGAAGTTGTGTTTAATAAATAATACAAATAAAATCCGTCCCATCTGAAAATAGAAACAGAAATCAAAAGTATCAGAATTTTTCACTGGTCTGTGTCCTAGGTAACAGAAATCTATTTACAACAGATAGGACTGAGACAATATGAGTAGTGTTTTATCGTGCCCAACCCTTAAAAGTCCTGTAAATGGATTCTTGAGCTTTGAGCCATGTTACAATACTGTCACCTCTTCATAAACATACCTGGAGTAATCCTTTATTATTAGCCTGTCTACATTTCCAAAGCTCAAAATACTACTAATCCACATTGTTGATGTTAGTAAGCCAACAGCTGACGTAGATAATCCTCCTGTTTTCATTAGAATGGGATACAAAAAATTGTTAAATCCACTTACATATGAAGTGGTTTGAGTAGTTTTTCCACCTGACCAACATCGGGTACCAGACACATCTTCATAAAGTATTGAAGAAGTAAGTATTTTGGATGCCAGGCAACTATTCATCTTATTCTGCCCCACACACTGTTGTTTGTAAATGTTCCTGAACGGCACTTTTTGGTGGTGGCACTTTTGTGTACAAGGTTGGGTGTTCAGCCCAATGTACTGAACGTCCGGATCAAGGTCAGTAGGTGTAATAATTAAAGGGTATGTGTAGCTGTTAATTTGAAAACTGGAACAAAGTATTTTGAGCTGATAATAGACAGACTAGTAATGTAGGATTACTCATACATGTGTGGCAATATTCTAACATGACTTAGGCTAAGTTCAGACTGCAGGGCTTAATGCTCAATTCAGATTTTTTCGTGAAATCCGATGTTTTTGTGAGGTCGTTCACATTTCCAATTAAATGTGACTTGTACGCGATCCCCTGTGTGAACATTAAATGGCCCAAAAGTGTCCCGCATGTGCACTGGAGACACGATGACGTCAACCGCAGCGAGCGTGCTGTGTTTACAGAAGTTGTCCAAACGTGGACGCGAGCATTGAGCACCTGGAGATTTTAAAGTTCCTCTCGTACCGGAGCCAGAACATGAACAACTTACTTGTTTTAAGGAGGAGATTGAGAAGGAGAAGGACGAGGTTTTTGGTCGTGGGGTTTTTTGGGACAGCGGCAGCGACGTCAGTTGAAAGGAACGTGTGGATGTGGAGACGGAGCCAAGAGTGGTGAATGGTGATGTGCTTCGCTTCACTGACACGGAGTTCATTAACAATTTTCGCCTACTTCAGCGCAGAATAGTGACGTTTGTGGCTTGTTGATAATGTGTAGGTCGAATGAATGCGCTTTGGCCGTTCACACTGAAGTCGCATGTCAAAAGATCAGATATGTATCGGTTTCAGGACCACATATCCAAGTGGCCTGGGTCACATTTGTCACTATTCTGCGCTGAAGTAAGCAAAAATTGTTAATCAACTCCGTGTCAATGAAGTGAAGCACATCACCACTCACCACTCTTGGCTACGTCTCCACATCCACATGTTCCTTTCAATGGACGTCGCTGCCGCTGCCCCACAAAACACCACGGCCAAAAACCTCGTCCTTCTCCTTCTCAATCTCCTCCTTAAAACAAGTAAGTTGTTCATGTTCTGGCTCCGGTACGAGAGGAACTTTAAAATCTCCAGGTGCTCGATGCTTGCGTCCATGTTAAGACAACTTCCGTAAACACAGAGCACGCTCGCTGTGGATGACGTCGTGGTGTCCTCCAGGTGCACATGCGGGACACTTTCGGGCTGTTTAATGTTCACACTGTAGATCACATACAAGTCACATTTAATTGGAAATGTGAACGACCTCGCAAAAACATCAGATTTCACAAAAAAATTGGAATTGAGCATTAAGCCCTGCAGTCTGAACGTAGCCTTAGACTTAAGATAAGAGTTAGTTTTGCATAATAAAGGATTATAGTAATACGTGTCATAGCGTCTCCAAACTATGGGCCTCAGACCTATTTTTCTTGGCCCTCAGGCTTCCAGGTGAATTGGCACATATTACTTCAAGTAGTACTTTCCTACCTTGAGAAAAACAGTATAAAACCAGTATCAAATAATTACTTAGATTCCTGTTTAGCATGCAAACAGGAACGTATGGTCTTATGGTTCATTCTCATGAAAGTGTCAATGAAACAACTACTCATGTGAATAAAACACAAATGAGATAATTTAAATAATTAACTGAGAGATCAACTATTACCTAACAACCATGTAGTACACTGGGTCAAAACTCCTCTGTACACGGATATAATGATCTGACAAATAAAAATGTAAGAAAACACCTTTATTTTTGTGAAATAATGTTTAAAGTCTCAAGTATAAATCAAGTATAAATTATGTCAACTCTCCCTTGTGTGGCGTCATTGATATAAAACTCTCTAAAATAGAATTCCGGTAATTTTCAACAAATTTCTTCTTGATTGGTGTGAAACCATCATTTATATTTACAACAGGTATTATTCCACCAGTTTAAGTACAAATTAGAGAATCGACAAAACCTGCCGTGCATATACTTGAGTAGTTGGCTGTCTGATGTAGACACACCTACCCAGTTATCTTTGTAACGTCAACATCAAATATGAAGAACTACTGGTATCTATCCAACCCTGCCCTTTATAAAAATATGAAGACTTGCCTCTCTTCATTTTATGATTTTCACTTTTATTCTTTTTTTTTTTCTTTGGACATTTGGACTTTTTTAATATATAAAGTAAACATCTTTAAGATTTGTGTAAGAATAGTTTTATCTTTATATTCCTCTCATCACCTGAATGCATCCGAGCTGACTCAGTTAGAAAAAGGACAGCTCTGTCACCTTTACATAGAGCAGTGACAGGACTAATTGGAAATATTGCTCAAAGATCCAAAACACTTACAACAGGGTTAAAAAAAACAACAACTAATATACAGCAGATGAGACTTTCAGAGTTACTCATTGTGCCTAAAAATGGAGAAAGCTAAAAAGACTTAATGCAGGGGGTGAGATATTAGAAGCTTAGTATCCTGGTTTGTTCTTGTGTTAGTCCTGGTGTCATTTATGGCCGTATGATCAGGTTATACGTCCTACATGTTACACAGTTTTATCTAAATGATGACACTGAGCAAATACTGTTCCCACAGTTATAGTCTTTAGTTCCAAAAGTCCCAGCAGCAGAGCTGCGTCACAGCTCATGCTGTTTCACACTGACGATCAGTACTCACTCCCTCTCTACAAACACACTGTTACGTGGACACACAGGATTTCCTGCACCAAGATTCCGACTCAAAATTGTTTGCATTTCCTTGGCAACCACCAAACCAGAACTGAGCGCAGGCGTTGGCTTCAGGGTCATAGTACCAGCGCACCACGTACTGACGACAGGGGCCCGGGTCCAGAGCCTGTCCACAGCCCACATCTGAAAACACAGCAATCAACAGAGTTGTCTCTAAATGAAGAAGACATGTAGAAATGTTTGGCAAAACATTTGCCAAAACATGCCTGGCCAAACAATGGCTTTTAAACAAACAATCCTGTCTAACTTATCTGCCCTGTATTAGTGCAGCAATATGAACTGTAAATTGGTAAATAGTGTATGGACGTGGTGACTAAGACCGAATGGGAAAGACTGCTCTAATATACAATGTATTTTATTTTAATGGCATGTACGGCATTTATGACATCGACCTGTCCAGGGACTGAAGAAACATTTGACCTCTTTGTGTAGATCTATGTTTTAATGTGCATTGTCCCTGATAAATAAACAAATAAACTAAACTAAACTAAACACAAAAGATTATTTTAAACATGGAACACAACATACGTTAAAATAAAGAAACATATTAAAACTGTTGATTCTTAATTCAACAAGGAAACAGATGAGTTATTGCTGGGTTTCAGATGAGTCAATAATAGAAATGATCAAGTTCCATATTTGGGAATTTACCTTTCTGATAAATTGTGGCAAAGTAAAGTGTAATAAATAGGAAAAACTGGTTCTTGCCCCCATCTGAGAGTATGAAAACCACCAATTTGTAAAAAAAATTAAAAAATAAATAAATAATAAAATATTAATAATAATAATAGTATTTGATTTAATGGGGCCTTTCAGGACACTCAAGGTCATATTATAGAAAAGTAATAAAACCACAAAGAGTCTATAAAATGAAAGGGTGTGTTCTAGTTCCTGTCAAGACACCACAAAAATATTTTTATTACAGCAGAGTCGCTCTTGCATTCCTTGCCGCACTTAAACGTACACCTGCAGATGTCGACTCTGATTGATTTATCTAACGATCTAATTAAATCATGTATAATTATAAAATCAGTAAGTACTTTATTTGTCCTCGCTTTTTGTATCGTGAGGAGAAACAGGGCGTGACAGGTGAGTGCAGCACGTCGTGGCTTTGATTACCTGGCAGAGAGGGCACAGTAGCTGGAAGGCCTGGTTCTCTCACAGGGGCCAGTGTGCCCTCTGTGTCAGTGTGCCCGGGGCTTGGAGCTGCGGTGATGCCCTGTGCCAGTCTGTGTGTGTCCCCTCCTGGAGCTGTGAGGGATGGGTCAGGCTGGCGCTGATCCTCTTTAGGTCTCTGGGTCACGTCCTCCGCACGTCCTTCAACCTGAGGGAGTGAACGTAAAACATCAAAGAGTTAGGAAATCTTATAAATTCACGCAAAAATAAGAATTTCACATTTTCAGTCACAGCTGCTAATAAAAGTCCTCTGTCTGTGTGTGGAAGCTCCGTCTGTCAAATACTTTTCTCAGTACAGATTTTATTGCTTTGTCTACCAGGACTGAACCAGGACTGAACCAGGATTGAACCAGGACTAAACCAGGAAGAAACCAGGACTAAACCAGGTCTAAACCAGGACTGAACCAGGACTGAACCAGGACTAAACCAGGACTGAACCGGACTAAACCAGGACTGAACCAGGAACTAAACCAGGTCTAAACGAGGACTGAACCAGGACTAAACCAGGTCTAAACAAGGATTGAACCAGGACTGAACCTGTACTAAAGCAGGACTAAACTAGGCTAAGTGCGGGTGTCCACTGATCGTGCTTTGCGAACAACCTGCTCCGCAGGCTCAGGGTTCTCCCTCTAGCGCTCAAATCCAGGCTTAGTCCTGGTTTAGTCTTGGTTTAGACCTGTCAACAATCAACAACAATTACTTAGTGACTGACATGATGAATGACTGCGCTAATATACATTGTATTTTATTTTAATGGCATGTACGGCATTTATGACATCGACCTGTCCAGGGACTGAAGAAACATTTGACCTCTCTGTGTAGCTCTATGTTTTAATGTGCATTGTCCCTGATAAATAAACAAATCGTCCGATCGTGCTTTGCGGACACCCGACTCCGCGGGCTCGGGGTTCTCTCTCTCACAAGCTCAAATCCAACATTAATCCTGGTTTAGTCCTGGTTTAGTGCTGGTTTAATCCTGGCTTAGTCCTGGTTCAGTCCTGGTTCAATCTTGGTTTAGTCCTGTTTTGGTCTTGGTTTGGTCTTGATTTAGTCCTGGATTAGTCCTGGTTTAGTCCTGATTCAGTCTTGGTTTAGTCCTGATTCAGTCTTGGTTTAGTCCTAGTTCAGTCTTGGTTCAGTCTTGGTTTAGTCCTGGTTTAGTCCTGATTCAGTCTTGGTTTAGTCCTGGTTCAGTCCTGGTTCAGTCCTGGTTCAGTCCTGATTCAGTCTTGGTTTAGTCCTGATTCAGTCTTGGTTTAATCTTTCAGTCCTGGTTCAGTCCTGATTCAGTCTTGGTTTAGTCCTGGTTCGGTCTTGGTTTAGTCTTGGTTCAGTCCTGGTTCAGTCCTGATTCAGTCTTGGTTTAGTCCTGATTCAGTCTTGGTTTAGTCCTGATTCAGTCTTGGTTTAGTCCTGGTTCGGTCCTGGTTCATGTGTTGTAGTCTGTGCTTTATGTTCTGTAGGTGATTATGAACGGCATTAATGTTAATAACATGATTCTGCATCATTTTGTGTAAAAAGGAGTGTGAGAGGACTTATTATTACTTACTGCATTCTTATTCTCAGCTGACCTCTCTGTTGGGGCTGGAGTTTGTGGAGCCAGTGATGAGAAGATGCTCTCCGGGAGAAAAGCCACTCTATTTTCATACTCACAAATCCGGTTAAGCAATTTGCCCTCCAGTGCTACAGAACAATAGAAGATTTGCATGGTACATTTCACCCACAGAAATAATACAATACACATCTTAGCAGCTCAGTCACAAAAAAACCATCTTCATTCATGAAGCCTTCATACAATCATTTTTAATATTCACAAATTTGTTCTTAATAATGTTCTTTTGTAAGAACGAATCCTATGAAGCACAAAAATACTACAGTTTTAGAATATTATTACTCTGACAGTGCAGCTAAAAATTCAAATTTGTTTGTGATTGTAAGTGAAATATTTTCTTAAATTATTTCTTATACAAAACATTTGTATTATTTGATCCAATAATGTTTAAGAGTGTGTGTCCATGTGTGTGTCCGTGTGCCTGTGTCTGTGTGTGTCTGTGTGTCGGGGTGTGTATGTGTGTGTGTGTGTGTGTGTGTGTGTGTCTGCGTGTGTGTGTCTGCGTGTGTGTGTGTCTGCGTGTGTGTATGGGGGTGTCTGTGTCTGCGTGTGTGTGTGTGTGTGTGTATGTGTGTGTGTGTCTGTGTGTGTGTGTGTGTGTGTCTGTGTGTGTCTGTGTGTCTGTGTGTGTGTTGTGTGTGTATGTGTCTGTGTCTGTGTGTGTGTGTGTGTGTGTGTGTGTGTGTGTGTGTGTATGGGTGTGTGTGTGTGTGTGTGTGTGTGTGTGTGTGTGTGTGTATGGGTGTGTGTGTGTGTGTGTGTGTGTGTGGTGTGCGTGTGTGTGTGTGTGTCTGTGTGTCTGGTGTGTGTGTGTGTGTCTGTGTGTGTGTGTGTGTGTGTGTGTGTGTGTGTGTGTGTGTGTGTCTGTGTGTCTGTGTGTGTGTGTGTGTGTGTTGTGTGTGTGTGTGGTGTGTGTGTGTCTGCGTGTGTGTGTGTGTGTCTGTGTGTGTGTGTGTGTGTGTGTGTGTGTGTGTGTGTGTGTGTGTGTGTCTGTGTGTGTGTGTGTGTGTGTCTGTGTGTGTGTGTTGTGTGTGTGTGTGTGGTGTGTGCTGTGTGTGTGTGTGTGTGTGTGTGTGTGTGTGTGTGTGTGTGTGTGTGTGTGTGTGTGTGTGTGTGTGTGTGTGTGTGTGTGTGTGTGTGTGTGGGCCTTACTGGGCAGAGTCCTGAAGTCATCGATCAGATAGATGTGTTGTTGCGTTGGCTCTGAGGCGATGGCGCTCATCTCTGCCTCAAACTCGGCGTACAGAGGGTCTGTGTGGTTCAGGACTCCGATCACAAACAGCTCTATTCCAGCGTCGTGCGCCTGTGTGGCTGTCTCCTCAAACTGCAGCGCGTCTCTGGGGTCAGCCTGCCCGTCGGTCAGAAGCACAGCTACCCTCCTGACACCCGGTCTCGCCGTCTCGAACAGCTGGGTGGCTGCGTGGATGGCGCTGCCCGTGAACGTGCCCTCACCCAGGTACGGCATCCTGCGCACCAGTGCCCTGAGATGGTCGTGGTCGGCGTGCTGCTGCAGACTGGCGATCTCCATGGTAATGTGGCTGTAGAGCAGCAGACCCACACGGGCGCCCTGTCTGCTGATGGTCAGACGCTCCATCAGAGACGTCACAAAGTCTTTGACCAGCTCAAAGTTCTCTGGACCTACACTTTCAGAGCTGTCAATGATAAAGACCAGCTCCAGGGGGCGCTCTCTACACCGCACGCCACAGCCTTAAACAAACAAAAGACAACCTCATAAGACTGTTTTCATGATCAGAATCAAGTCTAAGAGAAAGCACCATTACCACAGATCTCTCTGATGATCTGTAGAACCTCCTCTGTCTGTGCAGAAAAGACACAATGAGCAAATAAAAACATTTAGATGAAATGATGAGGGGCTTTGTACTCACTGACAGTCCTGGATCTCCCTTTTGCCCTGCTCTGCCCTGTTGAAAAGAACGTTGTTTTAAACACAGATTCAAGCGATCTCAGGGTATGTGAAAAGTCACATGTGATCAATAATCAAAGGACAGGTCACCATCAGTCCAGCAGAACCAGGCTCTCCATGGTCTCCTTTGTCTCCTTTCTTTCCCCGCTCTCCAGAGACGCCTCTGTCCCCCTGTGTGTCACAGACACTTTATTACAACAGGAAAGTAAAAACATATGAAGTTTCTGCTCACACTACTGTACCTTTTCTCCTGGAAGGCCGTCCCCTGGTTGGCCCCGTGGACCCACTGGCCCCTGAAAGCCTGGCTCCCCCTAATGATGAAGATTGTAAAACAAATAAAGGTCTGTGACAGTGGAATGAAAGGCTCTGTCCTGGTCTCTCATTACCTTAGGGCCCTGGATCCCTTCTCCTGGATGCCCAGGCATCCCTGGAGGTCCAGGCTGTCCAGAGGAGCCCTGCATACAGAGCAACAACATGTTCACATAATTATCATTAGCAATTGAAAAGCTTTAGAAAAACAATCATACACAGACTGACCTTTGGTCCAAAAAGACCAATCCCAGGAGGACCAATCGGCCCTGGAACCCCTGGTAACCCTCTGTCCCCCTGAAAGGGAAATTATACCAAAATAAAAGTCACTTTCTGTCATCTGTTCACATGGGAGGAGTTAGTATAGGCCACCTTAGATCCAGGCAGCCCTCTCCCTTCTGCGCCCATGTCTCCTTGTATCCCAGGTAATCCAGGCAGCCCCTAGCACAGACACACTTAGTATTAGTATTAGCATTAGCATTAGCTTTAGGACAGGTGGTCTGAAGCTGTTCTTACCGGGGCTCCAGGCAGACCCTCACCCTTCTCCCCAGCAGGCCCCACAGGCCCAGGGCTGCCTTTGTTTCCCTGAAACACAGTTTAGAGTTCAGGCTTTGGAGTCATGAACTTAGACTGCTTCACTTGTGTGAATTATTCAGTCCATAACATCGTGCACTCTGTCATTATGATGGCTTCATTGTAAAAGAAATGTTCACAATTTAAAGTTTTACAAAGACAAATACCAGAGTTACTGAAATCACCCAGACCCTTTTAATCAAATAAACCCAGAGCTGCTCATGCTTGTGAATTCAGATTACAGTGCTCTGATTGGACCATGTAGCAGAATACAAAATACACTGGGTATTCAGTATTTTGTAAAAGCATTTTGCCTATGGGAAAACTTCATTTTATCCAAAGAACAGAGACTGTATGCTCCCCTTCTTTTACCTTTGGTCCCATGATTCCAACTCCCGGCTCCCCCACAGGCCCCGCTGGGCCCACTGAGCCCTGGTCTCCCTGTGTGGACGACATTTCAAGACCATCACAATGTACAGTCACAAAATATACAGGCCTTTAAACGTTTTTAAAGGTCCTATATCACATAAAATAATCCAAATGATTCTAGTGAAGGTGTATGGATTTTAAAAACACAGTAGAGCACTTCCTGTAATACCACATGACATCACAAGGTGGAAACGAGGAAAAAACATTACAACATAGATCAGAGAACAGCGTAATCTTGAAGTGATGGTCAATGTCAGCATCTGCCTCTTATGTAATAACTGAATATTGTTGTTGTTCTTAGAGTGTGGAAATTCATAAAGTAAAACAGAAGTTACCTTTGGTCCTGGGACCCCACGGCCCGGAGCACCAGAGAGCCCCACCATCCCCTGGCTCCCAGGTTCCCCCTAAACAAAAATATCTACATTAATTGTTTATATATCACTGAGTATTCCAATGAAATGCATTTGTCAGTCTCATGGCATAAAAAAGTAATTTTTCAAGATTTTTTTTTTATATGTACAGTTTTTTATGAAAATGGTTGAATATTTGTTTGACTACTGTCATGAGTTTTAAACAAGTGTGAATAATTAAAGCCATATGACCATGTTATAACAGAAAAAACACACAGGTGGTTTTACTGTACAGTCTAAGTAGTGAAATAAATAATTCCCAAAACTTTTCTAAATATTAAAAATGTGTTTTAACATTGTTTTGTCTCAGCAGATATGGGCTGTTGCTGTTGAAACAAAGTTTACTCCATCTTAAAACAATTGTCCTCACTGTGTTTCTATGGCACACAAACCACCAGAGTCAAGAAGTGTTTTTTGATGTAAAAATCGTCCTGATTGGCCCGAGGATGGAGTCAGTGACACCTACAGATGCAGGAGGGTCTGGAGAGGAGAATTATCCAAATAACACAATTTGTCCCAAAAATGACTAAGGCAGTTATGCTCCAAGGCCATTGATAAGAATTGAGATGTTTAAACATAGAAGAAGAGCACAGTCCAGGGCCCAGGCAGAGCTGTATACCTTGGCCCCTGCAGGTCCCACTGGTCCGGGGGGTCCTGGTAATCCTCTGGCTCCTCGGTCCCCCTGGTCTCCCTGTGAACAAGCACAAGCCACACTTTTGTTTGGAGCACTTCATAATAAGCCAATTATTTTTTGTAATGGTCAATGATCAGTCAGTCCTCAGTCAGTAAAGTCATGTGGTTTGGAGCAGAGTTAAGACTTTAGGGGATTTTTTTTTTTTTTTTGTGTACAAGACTTAGTGATACCTTTTCTCCCGGGATTCCTTTTCCAGGTGCCCCCTCAGTTCCTCGCGGTCCTGGTACACCCATCTCTCCCTTCAGGAAAGAAAAAATACACATCACCTCTGAGTCCCACTAAAATGAACCTTGAGCGTAAAAACTGAAGATACTGGATCTGACCTTGGCTCCAACTGCTCCGTCCTCTCCAGGAATCCCTGGGATCCCAGCCGCCCCCTCTGGTCCTTCTTCTCCCTGAAACACAGTGTTCAGTTTGAGCCCCTTAAGCTTGGCACAGATGTAACTTCTGTCAGACCCACCTTTGGCCCAGGTTCACCCACTCCTCGCTCTCCCTGCAGCCCTGGCTCACCAGGAAAGCCTTGGTCTCCCTGAAAACACAGCACAAAGCCGCTTTCAAGTAACAGTAGAAAACACCAACACTGAGTCCTGATCTTACCTTTGGACCAATGATGCCAAGTCCAGGAGGGCCTCTCGGTCCAGTGGGCCCAATGGGTCCTTGGTCCCCCTGAGATAAATATAAAGTAAATATACAGTACCATAGAGAATAAACACCTGATGCACCTGACAGGCTCACCTTGTCTCCCTGTATACCTGCTCCAGGAAAGCCCATCAAACCTGGTAGTCCTGGGGCTCCAATGTTCCCCTGGAGGTAAGAGAGGCCTGTTACACTCTGGACTCCTTCACATGTAAAGTTACACTGATAAAAGCCAGGAGCTCACCTTATCACCTTTAGAGCCAACTCCATGGGGCCCGCGAGTGCCCTTGGGGCCCTCATAGCCCCTGTCACCCTGTGAGGGCACAGATAACACAGTAATACTCCAGTTTTGATCTAACACTCTGAGTGACAGAGACAGAGACACAATAGTCTACCTTTGGTCCAGGCAGACCTTCACCGGGAAAACCTGGAGCGCCCTGCATGCCTGGAGGACCAGCTGGGCCCTAAACAGAACAAACTCATGTGTTATTTAAAGAAGTGTATTTCCACTTTGCACTCTGTACACTTACAGGGGTGCCCGGCTCTCCCAGTCCCATCGGCCCCTGTGGCCCTGCTCTGCCCTGGTTTCCTTTGTCACCCTAAAAACAAAGGGAGTCCAGTCATTCAATTCACAAGACAGAGCTCTTCTGTGACTAAAAGCTCTTACCTTTGGACCAGGGTAACCCACACCATTGTCTCCTGGAGGACCGGGCACTCCCCTTGCCCCTCGCTCTCCCTTTACAGATGGATACAGAACATGGATATAAGTAACACTGAACCACAAACACATCATAAATATTACACTTGTGTTATTACCTTGAATCCCACTGGCCCCTCTGGGCCCTGGTCTCCAGTGCCCCCCTTGGCCCCCTACAAAAAGACAAATAAATAAACCGTTAATTACTTGCCAGAAGTACAATTTTATCTTTACTGACATTAATAGCGCCTGGAAAGTCTCTGCCGCCCTCTGCTGGCAAGGCTGATAATTGACTTGTTAAACAGCAAACCAGCAAGACTGAAATCACTAGAATAATTTCAATATTAACATAATCTCTCTGTCAATCAAGGGTAGTGAAATGTGTGAAGTGTCTATGTCAGATTAGACTAATTTTATTAAACTCAGTTAAAATCGAAAACGTGTTTCTTGTGTGTCATTTGTGCCAAACTTTTCAACTTTTCTTCACAAAATTGCTTCTTGACACAAGTATTATCCCACCAGATTAAGTATAAATTTGAGAATCATTCAAATCTGTCAAATGCACTTGTGTGTTAACAGACAATGAAACAAACAACAGCCCAGTAAGACAAGATGCACAGCAGTCAGAGGCTCATTACTGCGCTGAATCAGGGTGAATTGGGTTAAGTTGAATTAGGCTGATGGGGACATGACTCGCCAAAGGTAAAGGATGGATAAGCAGCCCCCTGTCCTGTGATAATGCTGTGGGACACTGTGGGGGGGTCCCAGTGGCCGTGGGACACAGTTTGGGACACAGTTGTGAAGAGCTGCACCAGGATCAGGCCTAATCCACAGCTCACATTCCTCATGTGCAGAAGGTCAGAAGCCCTGACCGCTCACAGGGAAGTGGACAGTGATCGTGTGAGCGCTGATGCTGATACAAAACTCAACACTGAACGCTGGCCCCAGACATGACCTCCACACACAGACACACACAGAAATACACAAACACAGGCACAGAGACACACACAGACACTATGGTTCCCACCACAGTCGGTCTTATCAGTGTTTTTAACAGCAGTGTGAGTCCATTCAGAGCTGGAAGTGCACAGTCACCCCCTTTGAGCATTTGGAAGTATCATATCAATAATGTGATACTGTAAATAGAAGTTTGAATTCATATTTAAATGTTTATCCCTTCTTGTGGTGTCATGAAAAGAGAAAATGCCTGTTCCGTCTCTTCACTGTGTCCCCCCTGACCAGTCCAAGTGGGCTCTGTAGAACTAATCCTGGGTCCTTAACCTCTCAGACAGATTTAAGTTTGTTACATTCTCCACAGCGGTGCGTCAGTGACTCATACAGAAACATGTCACAAAGCTTTAATTATCACCTTCTCTCCTTTAGGACCTGGAGGACCTGGAGCTCCACTTGTTCCCTACAAATATAATCACAGAAGGTTATTACAGTGAAACCTTTTAGGATAAAAACATACACCAGAGTCTCACCTGTTGTCCTTTTTTACCAGGGGCCCCACAGTCACCTCGCTCGCCCTGGAACAAGACATTTTAAAGGGCCCATTTTAAGCTATTTTCTCATCTTTTATAATGTTTCCTCATCAAAAACAGACCTGGAGTTGTTTTTGTTTCATTCACACACGTTTAAAAACACAAACCTTGCATATTTAGACTGACTTCTTATCACCTATGGATCATTTCAGCCCTGGAATTGCCAGTCTTTATGGGAAAGGGAGGCAAATATTAAGATGTCAAATGAGGGATGGGTAGAAATTAACGAATACCAATGGAAAACCACTGACTCTTTTTTTTGGAGGGAGTATGACTGGAAGAATACTGAAAAGGTTGGGATACCAAATGTTGGAGATCCTGTGGCGCAGATAGGGCGGATAACTTCCACATATAAAAAGTATTTTAAAAAGTGATGGATGAGGTCTTTAAAATCAATATTTCAATGACTTTTGAAATGATGTATCTTGGTATAATTGATATTCTGAATTTAAAAAGATGGGAAGATTATAAAATGTTAAGAATGATGTTGTTGGCGAGTAATCGAGTGATCGGAGGCCTAAAATAGAAGAGTGGTTTGATATAATATTAAGTATTTATAATATGGAAAAACTCACCGTCTCACTTAGATTGGAAGGTCATAAATTTAAGAAAATTTGTAAAGAATGGTTACATCATATTAAACAACATAGATCTGACTTTGTGTAGATAACAAAGACTGAAGTTACACCCCGGTTTAAAGCTACAATGTTTTTTTGGTTTTTTTTATGACTTGTTCTTATGAAAATTATATTACAGTTTGTGTAAGTAGGAATGAGAAACGTGGAATTGCCAAACTATGGACATTGGACATTCAGATTTGACTTAAAATGGACAACTTGTAAATTACTTTGATTGTCCTAATTATCATGTAAATCCACATTGTGAAAAGACAATACAATACAAATGGAAAAAAAAAAGGAATTGCTAATCTTTAGTCTTTCTCTGTAGCTGTTATGTGGAAAACTACCGTTTCACGACACCCCAAAGTCGAACAGAGCATTTTGAGCTATGGAGATGTAGACAGACTCATAATAAAAAGTTACTCAAGCATGTGTGAATGAAGCAAAACACAACTCCAGGTACGTTTTTGATGAGGTAAGAGCATTATAACATGCCTAAACACTCACACGAGTCAATTTTTGCGTAATATCGGCCCTATAATGTGGCACTGGTCCAAACTCCCAGTCCAACAAAGATCTGCAGGCGTTTACCGTTGCTATAGAAACGGCATAACATAGGTTTATTATATACATACCTTTTCTCCTTTGCTGCCAGGCCGACCCTAAGGACAGGAACACATACAATTATAGTATTATTTATGTATTCGCTCAGCTTCACCTACATCCTAACGAGACGTGGGTAGATCACATTCACTTGAGTAACGCTTTGACTTAAATGATACTTTTCTAGCAGCATACTTTTACTCCTACTTGTGTAACATTTTATTGGAGTAACTTTTGGATACTATTCCCACTGCGAGTAAATCTACAAGTGACAAAAACTTCATGTTGAGAATGTGAAATGATTTGAACATTTGTGCTTCTTGCATCGCTCCTTCAGATGTTCATAATGTAGTTGTTTTTTTTTCTCATTTTTGTGTCTATCCTTTGAAAACAGCAGATTTTGTGGATTATTTAACGTTTTGTCCTTCAAATTACATCAACTTCAAAAACTGTAAATCAGGTGTTATGTCCCGACAGTTACTCTCTTTTGTTCTCTTCATATTTCTACTTTAGTAACATTATTTTCAAGTAAAATTACACTTACATGAGTGCAATTTTTGGCTACTCTCCACCTCTGCATCCAGCTATTGATATTTTGCAGTGATATCATGCTGGGGGTGTTCTACATGTATGTCTAATGGTGGAATGTTTAGCCCTTACCATGATGACACAATGCACATATGAGCAAATGTTATCGAAAAAGTTTTAAGCTTGTCAGAAAACACAACAAAACAGATTTAAGCAGCACGTTTTCAGGAGCCTGTGATCAATACGAGTGTGTTTAGGAGTTTATTTTCGACAAAAAAGTGAGAGCGACTAACTGAAAAACTGTAATTTTATGTGTGAGAGACTTTAACAGCAAAAATCATCTCATCTGTTATAGTTTAGTTCTTTCTGCTCAGATTGTGTTAAAATAAAACTCAGATTTAAGTCTAATTTGAGCTTCAGACAGAGCAGTGCCTACAGTTTGATTCACACCCCCAGGGAACGTTAATACATCAGCTGCAGAGTATCAATAACACGCCGTGAAAATAATCTAATAATGTCCAAAACAAATGTAAATATAAAACAAAGGAAAGGTGCATTGTAACTTTCCTGGCATCTCATTTTTTTCCCCATGGAGATGTTATTGCTTTGCCTGAAATGTTCCAAAGTAGCATTAAATTGATCTATCTTGCATTTATTATATTTATTACAGGTGTTTTTTTTTTTGTTTTTTTAAAAAGGGTGACCAGATGTCCTTATTTACTCAGGAACAGTCCCAGTTTTGAGCCCTGTGTCCCCTGTCCCAGCAGATTTATCCCAGTTTTATATAAGAAATGTCCCAGTTGTCCCTATTTTTGACCAGTTTGATCTAACACTAGCCTGATTCATCAGCCGGTTTCACTTCATAGAAACCGTCTGACCATTAGAATTCGTTTGCGCGACAGTAGGTGGGTACTTTTTTCATTTAACCAATCTAATCTAACTGGGCTAACTGGTATATTAAGCTTTTCCCAAATCCTATAGGAAAAAGAGCAATAACGTCATTCCTCTTGATAAAATTCACCAAACATTCTCTTTGTTCCGGCTTTAAATCCTCAATCTCGGGAATCCTTAACAACACAGAATATATGGCTCTTTGCTGATTGGCTGGTGCCCGGATTCACACTTCCGGGGTTCTTGTCAACCATCTAGCGTATTTTGATTCCTGACCTAGTCGCTGGAGAGAAATGAAATTCAGTGGAGGCACTAGGTTGCACCAGCCTGGTTAGAAATGTTCCACTGTAGCACTAAATTTGATCTATCTTGCATTTATTCAATTACAGGTGCTTTTATTTCTTAAAAAAAGGGTGACCAGACATGAATATTTACCCGGTAACAGTCCCAGTTTTGAGCCCTGTGTCCCCTGTCCCAGCAGATTTATACAAAACAATCGATTTGGCCCAGTTTTATACAAGAAATGTTCCAGGTGTCCCTATTTTTGACCAATTTGATCTAAACCAGGACTGAATTAAGATTAAACCAGGATTACATCAACTCTAAACCAGGACAATCACAATTTTTGACTAATCTAATCCCTGCCAACAGTAAAGAGGAGCATAAATTGTCATTTTTTAGTCAAAATAATCAATTTGCAAATGATGATAAAACAAAAAAAGCAGCATCAGAAGTTCCTCAGATTATGACTGACATGAGAACGCACAATGTTCCACGCTCTTTTCACAATTTTATTTAAACCAAACATCCCAACCCGAGTGTGTCTCAGTTTAGAATCTTGTTTAGTTTAATGCAATAAAGGGGAGCATTATGGACAAAGCAACGACATCTCCATCTAGACGAGGAGGTAACGGACCGTCCACCAGAAAAGTTACACAGTGCACCTTTGAGATGTCCAGTAGTTTACCTCCAGACCTTCCATTCCAGGCCTTCCGTTGATACCTGGCTCCCCCTGTGTGGAACAACCAGACCAGAAATCCCGTCAAAGCTCTGTTCACACTGTTCAAGCATTCACTGTGTTACCAACAGAGGATTTGGGGAACAAAAGACTTACGCGAGAGCCCTTTGGACCTGGAGGGCCATCTGATCCGGGCTCGCCTGGTTTCCCCTGCATCAAAGTATGCCACAGAATCAGACCCAGATCAACCGTGCCTCTTTAGTGGAGCAGCGAGAGTGACCTGTCTGTGACCCGCGTGCAAAACAAACCAGGACTACAGCCTAATCCTGACCTCTGACCTCTGCGCAGCTCCACACAGCTCCAGCTCCATACAGCTCCACTCAGCTCCAGCTCCATACAGCTCCATACTCTGCTCCACACAGCTCCACACAGCTTCGTTCAGCTCCACACAGCTCCTCCTCAGATTCGTTCAGCTCCACACAGCTCCTCATAGATTCGTTCAGCTCCACACAGCTCCTCATAGCTTCACAGCTCCACACAGCTTGACTCAGCTCCACACAGCTTCGTTCAGCTCCTCACTGCTTCATTCAGCTCCACACAGCTCCACACAGCTCCACACATTCGCTTCGCTCCTCACAGCTCCTCACAGCTTCGTTCAGCTCCACACAGCTCCTCACAGCTTCGTTCAGCTCCACACAGCTCCTCACAGCTTCGTTCAGCTCCTCACAGCTTCGTTCAGCTCCACACAGCTCCTCACAGATTCGTTCAGCTCCACGCAGCTCCACACAGCTTGACTCAGCTCCTCACAGCTTTGTTCAGCTCCTCACAACTCCACTCTGCTCCACACAGCTCCACTCAGCTCCACTCTGCTCCCTCAGCTCCACTCTGCACACACTCAGCTCCACTCTGCACACAGCTCCACAGCTCCTCACAGCTTTGTTCAGCTCCTCACAACTCCACTCTGCACCACACAGCTCCACTCAGCTCCACTCTGCTCCACTCTGCTCCACGGGGGGCAGTACTTATCATGTGCACATTTTCTTTGCACTAATGTGAATTTTTTTGTATTTTTTTGGCTATTTATTGGATCGACATTAGTCTTTACTCAGGTAGACTATTCTTCCTGGGGTCCAAGCTGGCATAATTTACAATAAAATGTTCCATTATAATAAAAAAGTTCACACATAAGTCCATACAGTCCTGTTCCACAGTATACTATACGCCTATATGATCAGCTTTGAGCCACAGACGGTTGAATTAAGAACTTCTACGACTCATTACAGATGAAAACAAAGTACTAAAGGTAGATTTAGAATAGCTTTTGTGGTTTTAAGTGGAGCTATTGTGTCATTAGTGTTATAAAGAAGTTTCAGCATTATCGTTTATCATCTATACTTACATACAGTATATACAGTAATTGTTATGGTGACAGGTTTACAACACGCAGCTCCACACAGAGGCTCAGTGCTCTCAGGCTACACTTACACATGGGTGAGAAACATGTGCATGTGCTCCAGAGGTCACCACGGTAACAGAGCCCCTGCTACTATCATCAAGTAAAGTACCGTAACATTACTTTCAACTCAGCTTAATTTTAGCCATAATTTATCTACCGGTTTAAAGTTAGAACTGTTCCTGTGCAAGTGTAATATTTCAATAAATCTACAATTTGAAATCTGAGCATTCATTTGGAAAGAAGAAATGTGAAAATAATTAACTGATATTAAAAACATTTGACAACCTTTCAAAAGTACTATTACCGTATTTTTCGGACTATAAGGCGAACCGGATTATAAGGCGCATTAAGCGAAATAAACGGACGACACTTGAGACTGATCCTTAGCCCAGGCGTCCACGATCTTGTCGTAATTCGCCCGGCGTTGCCTCCCTGTTTTGGTGAATGTGTATTATGAATGTGAATGTGGGTGGATCATTTAAGTTTTTTAACTTCCTACGAGGACGACTCAAATATACATTGAGTAATAATGTGTTTAATGCAGCTTTGTGCACATTTGTTTACGTTTTACAGAAACAAAACTTAAAACCACATGGCTCATTTGCCTAAACTATAAGTGCTGAAAAAACAGCTCTTTCCTTGTGCACTGATGCAGTTCCGCTTCTGTCGGACTAAAGGACACAACTCAGTGGATTATATGTGTACGTATGTATGTGTGACTACAGTAACCGTAATGCTCTGACAATCTATCAAGAAGTTGGGCTTTGTAACTTACCAAACTCATACTAAAACATTTTGACAGATTTTTGAGCACCGTGTACCATATAAAATCAGTTCGAGGTCACTAAACACAACCAGAATTAATACATAAGGTGCACCAGATTATAAGGCGCACTGTCGATTTTTGAGAAAATGAAGGGATTTTAAGTGCGCCTTATAGTTCGAAAAATACAGTATTACTTTAAAAACAAGGTAAAGATTAAATATGAAGTGAGTGAATATAATGAGACTTACTGGACTTCCAGGATGGCCCCTCTCGCCCTTGTCACACAGACAGGACTTGGGCTGTGGACACTAAACACACACATTATGAAGATAGTACGAGGAATAAAAACTCTGTAAGATGTGAATGTTTTTGGACTTACCCCAGCTTTTACTATCGAATTCTGTAAGGAAAAAAAATAAATAAATAAACAAGACAAAATCACTGTTTGCACAAAGCAACCAAGCATTTTAAAGGCTGTAGCTGAGGGTACCTTTGAAAACTAATATTGAAAATGTTCATAAACACTTAAAAGATGTTAGTGAGAAGATACAGAGCATTTGGTGCCACGAAACCTTTAGTGCACGATGTGATACTACAGCAGCATTAAACTGCCTTTTACACTATTTTCTGATCTATGTTACAATGTTGTTTCCTCATCACAAACACACCTGGAGTTGTGTTTTGCTTCATTCACACATGTAGCCGAATTCTTCTCTCAAACTGAAAATACTCTGTTCCACCTTGTGATGTCATGTGGTAGTACAGGAAAAGCTCCACTGTGTTTTTTAAAATTCCATACACTATCACTAGAATCATTTGGATAATTTCAGCAGTGGAATTACCCATTGCCCCTGAACTAAAGGTACAAGGAGCTGTTCACTTGAAAAATAGAGCTTCATGACATCACAAGGTGGAACGGAACATTTTGAGCTTTGGAGATATAATAATAAAGAATTACTCAAACATGCGTGAATAAAACAAAACATAACTCCAGGTCTGTTTTTTGAGAAGGTAACAACATTATAACAGAGCTTAAAGTTCACAAGAGTCAATTTTGCATAATATAGAACCTTTAAGTTCATAGAACTGACCATTTCTGAGAGCAGCCTGTCTCTGAGCTGCTCGTCCATGAGGCTGAGCACGTGCTGCTGTGGGGGGGCACTGGCGATAGAGCGCAGCCTGGTGCCCAGGGGCCCGTCCCGGGGCCCAGAGGACAGACGCACAGTGAACACTCTGATGTTGTGCTGTTTGGCCTCAGCAGCAGCAGACACAGCACTGGGGCTGCGGGGATGATCTGTGCCGTCGGTCATCAGTACTGCCACCCGCAGGCTGCTGGGAGACGTCTCACGCACAAACACCTGACACACAGTTTACACATATTACATACATTTGTATGTTTTATATTACATCACACACACTGTGCAGTTTATCACAGGCAAACATACAGACGTGTCAGATAAATCTGCAGCCAAGAGCACAGATCTGATTATTGGACACAGGCCCCTCCAAACCTGAGGGACCAGAAGCTCCAGCCAAGAGACCAGGATCCAACATGATACATTTATGTGATGTCAGTCAAAATGTAAAAAATTGCATTAATGACAAGAGACAAATAGAATTATGAAGTAAATAAAACAGATGTTTTTTTGTTTAGACAGAGAATTAATCATTTTAATGTTTACCAGCACAGGGAGACTTTGGTACCATTTGTTATAAAGTCATAAATCTTTACTTTTGTGTTTTTGTATCAAAGCTTCAGTTTGAAGCCAACGACGGGCGATATGCCAAAAAAAAAAAATCATCACACTCTGAAGGAGAGTGAAAGGAGGGGGACTCACAGCAATAAATCCAAAACTGAAACAAATTTAACATTTTTATATATTATCGGTAAATATAGCATTTTCAAACAATAAAAGGTGACACGGTGATTTTATGTGTGATGTTCTGTTTTAAACTGTCAATACCCCACAGCAGTGTAATCCTCCTCTTTAAGAGCAGATTCGACAGCAGCGGTGCTCATACCTTGGTGGCATTGGAAATGGCATAGGCCGAGTAGGAGCCGTGTCCGATGAACTTCATGGAGGCGACTCTGCTCTGGAACACGTCCACGTCCTGCCAGTCCCTGAAGTTGTGCTCCAGAGACACTGAGCTGCTGAACTGAAGAGCAGCGAGCCTCACCCTCATCCTCCAGCCCACAGACTGGAGCTGCACCAGGCCAGAGCTCAGGCTGGAGATGAAGTCCTTCTGACGCTCAAACAGGGCTCCTCTGGCCGTCTCTGAGCTGTCCACCATGAACAGGACCTCCAGCGGGCACATCAGGACTGCCAACAGGTTAAAGAGGGTTAATGGGCCTGGAGCTCAGTGAGGGAATCCTGGAGGTTCTGAGTTTTAACACGAGGCCTGTCCATAAACTGAGAATGAGACTCAGCTGCTCAGGCTCAGTTGTGATTGAAATTCATTTTTTTTAAAACAGTAAGAGCACAGGCAACAAAAAATAATTCATCATTCATTCATTCACTTTTCAAAATAAAACCAAAAATAAGAAAACGGACAAAAAAAAAACTATTTTCTTCATTATTTGTCTCCAAAACCAAAATGAAAAAACAGATAACGATTTGTTTTTTCAGCTTTCGTGACTTAAACTGCGCTGCCAGACTTTTGCGCCGCATACGGACTGAACCAGGACTGTACCAGGACTAAAACAGGACTAAAACAGGACTAAAACGGGACTGAACCAGAACTGAACCAGGACTAAACCAGGACTAAAACGGGACTGAACCAGGACTGAACCAGGACTGTACCAGGACTAAAACAGGACTAAAACAGGACTAAACCAGAACTGAACCAGGACTAAACCAGGACTAAAACGGGACTGAACCAGGACTGAACCAGGACTGAACCAGGACTAAACCAGGACTAAAACGGGACTGAACCAGGACTGAACCAGGACTAAAACGGGACTGAACCAGGACTGAACCAGGACTGAACCAGGACTAAAACGGGACTGAACCAGGACTGAACCAGGACTAAACCAGGACTAAAACGGGACTGAACCAGGACTGAACCAGGACTAAAACAGGACTAAACTAGGACTAAAACAGGACTAAACCAGGACTAAAACAGGACTAAACCAGGACTAAAACAGGACTTAACCAGGTCTGAACCGTTACCCTTTTTTCCATTCTTCATTTAAACACAAAATCGAAAACAGAGAAAAAGAATCTTTATCTGTTTTTTCATTTTGGTTTTGGAGAAAAATAATGAAAAAAAAAAAAAAAAAAAGGTAGATTTTTTCATTTTCTTATTCTTGGTTTTATTTTGAAAAAACAAATGAACAAATGATACACAGATTAAAAATGTCAGGGTCGTGTTGTGGAGATGCAAGCCCACTCATAGTAAGGACATGTTGTTGTTTTTTTTAAGTTTTCAGTGCAATAATGACAAAGTAAATAAAATAATCAAAAAAACTGTATGGCAATTTTTTGTTTACAGGTCCTATATTACACAAAATAGTTTCTTGTGAGCTTTAAGACATGTTATAATGTTGTTTCCTCATCAAAAACAGACCTGGAGTTGTGTTTTGTTTCATTCACACACATTTGGGTAAGTACAAAACGCTCTGTTCCACCTTGTAATGTCATGAAGGGGTCATTTTCTAGTTAACAGCTACTTTTTACCTTTAATTCAGGAGAGATTGGTAATGCCAGGGCTGAAATTATCACAACATGGAACAGAGTGTTTTCTGATTGTCAGAAGAACTCAGTCTGAATCTGCAGGGTTTGTGTGAATGAAACAAAACACAACTCCAGGTCTGTTTGTGATAAAGAAACAACATTCTAACTAGTGCTGTCATGCGATTAAAAACATTTAGAGATTAATTAATTATGATCTGTAATTAATTAATCTAATTAATCTCATTTTAATCTCACCTAAAAATTGCTGAGAAAAGCCTTCAATTTGAGGTATTTTCATTTAAATTCATTATTACATTATTGTGGCAGATCAAAAGACTGATATAGATTAAAAAAAAAGTGACTTTATAAAGTCATTTATTGTTTAACAAATCTCTCCAAATTGGCTGTTGAGCCCAAGTCTCCATGAATAAGAAACTGTTTGTTGTAAAGTAGCAAAGACGAGGAAATCTGAACATAATAACTTTTGTCTACTTAAAGACAATAAAAAGTCCAGTCTTTCCTTAACCATATTAAAAATATTATTGATAGAGAAATGCTTTATATATGAGATCACTGGTTTTAGTCCTTGTTTTAGTCCTGGTTTAGACCTGCTTTAGTCCTACTTTAATCCTGGTTTAGTCCTGGAATGGATTAATCCTGGTTTTAGTCCTGGTGTTAGTTCTGGTTTAGTCCTGGTTTAGTCCTGGTTTAGACCTGGTTTTAGTTCTGGTTTAGACCTGGTTTAGTTCTGGTTTTAGTTCTGGTTTAGACCTGGTTTAGTCCTGGTTTAGATCTGGTTTAGTCCTGGTTTAATCCTGGACTGGATTAGTCCCGGTTTTAGTCTTGGTGTTAGTTCTGGTTTAGAGACGCACAGGAGGAATCTCGGTTTACGCCGCGTACGCGAGAAAACACGATCCACACGCGGCTCACGGGAGCACGTCGGTGTCCGCGCAGTAACTACGGAAGGAAACGTGGTCCGCGCGTTTTCAGGTTAATGACGATGATGAAGGTGTGTGTTTGTGTTTGTGTTTGTGTGTGTTTGTGTTTGTGTGTTTGTGTGTGTTTGTGTGTTTGTGTGTGTTTGTGTGTGTGTGTCCCCTCATGTGGCAGGTCACTATAGGACAGTAGTGCAGACATCATGAGTCTATGCAGGTTGTTTTCACCAGTGACATTTAAGTTGTAGGCGATATTATATTTGTTATTTTCTTTTATATTTCACGTCGGGAGAATAATTTCCAAGACACGAATGTGTTTTTCCCTGTGCACTGCTGCTCTGTTCTACTGGCTCTTCGACCTCGTCCATTGTGCGACTGACGCCGCCAACGTTAACATGACGTTTACATCGCTCTTACTGCGCGCGTTTTGTGTGGGTTTCCGACAATGAGTGGAATTACCGAAATAAAAAAAATTTATAAATGTGTTTTGTGTGTGTGTGTTGTTGTTGTCCCAACAACACATAAAAACAGGTTTTATAATAAAGAAACTCACATACAGAAACACTAAAGTTAGAGATTAAAAATGAGATTAAATGCGATTAAAAAACATAACGCGCTAAATATGACTGTAATTAATTAATCGCAATTAACGCGATAATTTGACACCCCTAATTCTAACATGATTCTAAGCGTGACATGGGCCGTTTTAAAAGTTCGAGACAAACCTTTGGCTTCGTTGAGCAGCACACGGTTGTCATCTCGTGGTCCTTTCCTTCTCTTCTGTTCACACTGGACTAAACTTGACAGCACCAGCAGCAGAGTGAGGGAGAGCAGGAGCCAGCCCATGGTCAGTCTTCAGCCCACGGTCAGTTTTCACCTACGAGACAGATACTTGTACTTCATTCTTTAGTTACAGACAGGTCAGTAAGCACAGGGTCTCTTTAGTGACTTAGACTTCGACTTAGACAAACTTTATTGATCCACAAAGGAAATTATTTGGACACAGTAGCTCAGACGTCACAATAGGGCTGCTCAATTACAGAAAAAATCATTATCGTGATTATTTTTATTATATTCGTCAATACTGAAATCACGATTATTCAAATTGTTATTTTTTTAGTTACACGATGCATTTATTCAGCATTTCTCTCTCAAAAAAACTCACTTTGTTATTGATAATTTACGCAAAACGTTCAAATTGAAAATAAATATAGGCCTCAAATATGTACCTTAGAACAGTTTTGCAGTGTATAAAACATAAAATGAATAAAATATATTTTGAATATGAAACAAAGCATAGAAAAACATCAATGTATCCAAAATAAACTATATATCCAGCACTTCTACAATCTCTATCTTTAAAAAATAAAATAAATATACTTGTTTATATAAAAAATATCCCAAAATAAACTAAGGTTTATCATTTCAACTCGATTATATGAGTTTGGAGATCGTTTGAAATCGCAATCAAAATTCAATTAATTGCACAGCCTTACATCACAATAAAATATAATAACAAAGAGTAAAAACTATAAATGGTAATAATAAAATCTAAATAAGTAGCAAAAAGATACCAAGAGACTGGGGTCAAATAAGGCATAAGTATATAAATCTACAGTATATGTCAAAATAAAATAGAAAAATAAGTAGGGATGTAACAATAACCGAAATATTGTGATATCGTATTGTCAAAGTTTTCACAATAATATCATGGACCATCACAATATATCGAATTACAAGTCTCTTTGCTTAAATTAAGAGTTATGGTGCAGCAAGAGCTAAAAAAAAAAAGACAAAGGGAACTACATCAACCATGATCCTTTGCTCCATTTCAGTGTAAACTACAAGAAGAAATAACAGTTCTAACACTTTTAAGTCTTAGTTCTTTGGATTAAGCCTCGTCAAGGACTTTTAAGAAGAAAAAGTAGAATATTACATACAGTTATATACAGTTTTGTTTAGGGTCCACAAAATATCGCAATAAATATCGTACCGTGAGGTTCAGACTGTGACAATATCGTACCATGAGACTTGGATATCTTTACACCCCTAGTAAATAAAATAAATAATAAATAATAAATAAATAAAAATAATACATAAAATAATAAAATATAAATAAATACATATATAAATAAATAAAAAAATATAAAAATAAATAAAATATAAAATCTCAACTATATACAAGAAACGACACTTGATACATCGCTCACAATTAGAGCAGTGGTCCCCCAACCTGAAGGTCGGAGGGTCGATTCCCGCTTGGATCAAGTTTTGTCGTTGTGTCCTTAGGCAAGACATTTCGTAGTTGTAGTTGTTGCAGCCTTGCTTTGATCAGTCAGTATTTAACCATCACTGAGAATCAATAAAGAGCACAGTGTGGTGCTTTGAGTGTGTAAGACATTAGTGTTACTATTAATTTGATAATGTCACGATTTAGCGATCCGTGCAATAATCAATATACACACATTATTCTGAGACTGTTACGACCCAGTTCGACTAGGGTCAGGGAGGTAACAAAAACCAAGAAGGAAAATTGAATAATAAAGTAATAATTGAATAAACTGGATTGTAAAAGGTAGAATAACAAAAGTAGTCCAAAATACATAAACAAAATAACCTAAACTAGGAAACAAGATTAACATATAAGGAGTTCTGTGCCAAAAAATTAGTCACGTAGGTCTGTACAGAAAACGAGTGACTAAACTAAGGGACACATAAAACAAAACTAAATCACCAGTGTTCCAAAATAATGCCACATAAACCCACAAACAAAATTGAGGGACAACTAAAAAGACAAAAACAGAACTAAACTAAACTAACAGAAACTGAGTGTCTCAACAAACAAAAGACAAGTACAAGCACAAACCAAAGAGGCATGAAAACGGGTCAAGAGTGAAAAAGGTGAGGAGGGTGTACGAGAGGCGGAGCGGGCGCCCCTTGCCCCTGCGTTTTTTTGTTTTTTTTTACTGTGTGTACTATGGCATCTATTTCGGGTTAATAAGGCCAGGCCCTATCTAAATGATCGGCAATTCACCAGTATATGCTCTAGTGTTGCTGTGAAGACCGCACTAATCAAGACCACGACTTGTCCGAGACCACAGAGACCCGAGACCAAGACCTCTGAGAGACCGAGACAAGACCAAGACTTTTAAAGGTCGACACCGAGACAAGACCAAGACCACAGACCACTGAGACCAAATCGAAAACATCTTTGTCAGTTTTTACATTTATTTGTATTTTACAGTTATTTTGGCACATTTATATCAAAGTTTTTATAAATCTATCTCCAATCTATCTGATTTGAATTATTTATTAGATTTTCTGATGTGGCTTATAACAGGCCAAGCAAACTGTACTGCACTGAAACACTCTAGTCTGCGCCCGCTTTTTTGGACGCTCACTTAGTCCTTCTGTAAGAAAACTTCTACTGGTACTTTACACAAAACTACTTCACTTAACTACTTTACTTAAGCTGTTTTTTTGAAATTCCTAACTTGAGTTACATTCTCTTACTGGTTTTACAGTGAGATTTAGCCTCATTTACCAAACCACCAAACCAAGCGCACGACGTGACAAACAGCTTTATTTAGCATTTTATTTTTCAAACTTCAGCCCACATATCGCAGTAGGCTTGCTCTGTGCAGTAGGTCTGCTCCGACAATGTAGCATTAATTTAGATTCATTTTTGCTTTGTGTTTTGTTTTGTCCTTCAAATCAGCGCAAACTAAGGACCGAGCCAATGGGCGCTTTACACAGGGAGGAGCAAGAGCGTGAAAAGGAGAGGAGATGGACTGTCGGGGTGTGCAAAAATATCAAAATCTCAATATATCGTATCGTTTAATGTGATGATACAGTATCGATATCATGGGCTGCTGTATCGATATGTCGCCAAGAGTATTTTTTGGTGTATTTTACCAGATTATTTTGTTACAGAGCTACAGTTTTGTTGCTTGTTTAGAGAAAGTAAACTCATTTATGCGACACATTTGACATTTTCACTGTTTTGATGATTAAAATGTTTGTGTTTCATATGAACTTTGCACAAGAAGTGGTTTAGCAAAGCCTTTTAGTATCACAGCCATGATTTAGCCTTTATTTTTTATTGAACCATATCGAACTGATTTGAAATATATCGTATCAAATTGAAAGTTCACTGTATCGAGATATGTATCGTATCGTGGCCTACGTATCGAGGTATGTATTGTATCAGCAACTTCTTGATGATACCCAGACCTAATGGACAGGTAGGATGTTTTAAAAAGTTTAACGTGTCATGTGGTACACGCTGGTACACCAGGGCACACCACCCCTAAAACTTTTCTCATCAAATCTACACGATTCACGTAGGTCACTGGTTCTGGCTTTATAATGGCGAATTTTGCAGAAAGGTGAGAGATTTTCATGTCTAAGAAAGTAACTGACACAAAAGAGACTCGGACACAAAATGGCAAACTGGCCACAAAGTCGAACAGCGTCGAACAGGTCTGGCTGATCTTCTTAAATATGGGGGAGGTGGCTGCAGGTGAGGCAGGATTGGTGAAGTGTAGAATCACAGCACCAATCAGGGACCAGGGCTCTCACAGCACAAATCAGGAGGGACAGCAAAAGAAATTAAAACACACACAAAACAAGTCAGAGAACTGGAGAACTGGAGGCCTGGGGTCATAACAATCACTATTATATAAGAACTACCGTAATTTCTGGGCAATTAGACGCGCTCTTAAGCCTCTATCCCCATCAAAAAACGACTGCGCGCCCCACAATCCAGAGCTCCCTACACACGAATCCACTCGGGTGTTCCAGCACGACTTCAGTAAACTACAAAGCCGCACCACCCGCAGCGCACGCAAACACACACAGAGCAGACAGCGACCGCGCAGCGAAACACACCCACAGACACACTCATCACTCCACGCCGACGAGGAACGGAACGAAGGAACGAACCGAAAAAGCGAGTGCAATGTGCCACTTCTAGACACAACTGAACAACTGAGTCACTGCGAACACGCCGACAATCCGTTGGTCCCAGACAGCACCCTCCCTACACGCCACAACTGAACAAAGCCCAGAGTCACCGTGAACGCCACAAAAACTCCCACTGACCCATCCAACTGTGTTTCGTTTAAAGTCCGGTGCAGTTTATTTGTGAAAAAAGTTCGAAAATAGACCATTTAATGACAGTGCGCCTTATAATCCAGAGTGCCTAGTAGTGTGGAAAATACGGTATATAAACATATGAACATTTTAACACCTTATTTCTTTCTTGAAATGATACCTGGACAAATTAAATGCAAAACATACTCTCATTTTAATGACCAAAACAGACAACATTGTCACAATACCAAAAATGATCCACGGTGGCCAAAAATATCACTACTGTATAACCAAGTTTAGAATCACGATAAATGGTACAGTATATCGTGATACGTGGTATAAACAGACCCCAGAGTAGAGCCTGTAGACTGAAGGTTGTGTTTATCAGGCCAATAATTTCATGCTTTGTCTTACAACACATTTGCTCTTGTTACATAAGAAAACAATAAAGGTAAAGTAAATGTTAAGATGAAGATTTGACACCTGTCTCTTGCTCTTTTTTGCTACTTATTTAGACTTTATCATTTCTATTTTTTACTCTTTGTTATTACATTATATTGTGATGTGTGAGCTACTGTGAGCTACACTTTTGAGTAATACTTTCTCGGTAAAATCTAAATCTTACATACACTGACCTTTTTCAATATATATGGAATCATATAAAATTTATTATTACCATTTATTAGGGGTGTAACGGAACATGTATTTGTGTTGAACCGTTTCGGTACAGGACGTTCGATTCGGTGTAGGTCTGTGCACAAGCGAGTTTGTGCAATTTGTGTGTGTTTACATTCCGCCACTACATGTGC